ATTTATTACTTCCATGTATCTATATATATCGAAGCGTTTTTTTGGACTATTTCTATCTTCTGCGTTTTCGCAATCCCTTTTTTCAGTAGCATTTTAAAGACTGCGGGAGCCCCTTCGGGGCCCTACGCGCCCGCATAGTTCGCTTACCGCTTAATCCGCCGTTCAGGTATACACCACATATGCGTACCACTATAAAGCAAAAAATGATGTCAGAATTTCTGCACGCCTTTTACAACCTCGAGACTAAGATTTTATTCGGGAGTTACCGTTTTCAATTTAGTAATTTTAAAAAAATCCTCGGACAGATTTATTTTTGTTACAAAACGTTACCTTAACGGATTTCTAGCTCCGCACACTGTAGAAAAATCTAGAAATACAGTTTTGTATATCGTAATAATAATAGTAGTTGCCAGAGAGCTCTATAAAGTAGAGAAAAATCTGTAAATTTAAAAACTATAAACATAAATTTAAATTTCTCAAAAAATAAATTAAAAATCTCAAAAGTCGCTACTTTTGGCTGATTTGTCTGAGGTCTCCGCTACCTCACTACGTCCCCTCTAAAAGTCGCATCAGTTGGGAACAGGGAACACTGGTGAGCAGACATCTAGGGTGTAATCTAAGGCGAAATGTAATCGCCAAACCGCGCTGTAGAGAGGTGGAAAAATTTTAAATTTAAAAATATAATTTCTTGTGAACAGCAGTTTGGGCCCCCTTCAAAGTGGGCCCTGTGCGAGTGCACCTGTTGCACCTGCCTAGTTACGGCTCTGGTATCTATAAGACTTTATTTAGTTAAATTATAACGAGATCCAGAAAGACAACTATTATTATTAATACTGTATACTAAAACCTACTAAAATGTTCTTCGCGAACTTTACGACTTTTAATGCCGTCACAATAAAGGAAATAATTTCAAATATCGATCACTAAGTAACATAGACCTAAACAGAGTTAATCACTGAATGGTGTTACATTATAGTGACGTTCTATCGTATCTACTTGCAACGTCACTTCACACTATTGTAAATCTAATTCCGTAAAATTACACTGAAATATACGATCACGAATCACTAATGAGTACTGGCATTGTGGTAATATCTATTCAATCAGAAATCGGTCGAGTCAATTACTGCTTAGGAACCACTGGCAAATAGACTGTCGGCTAAACAATCATTTGCTTGTGAATAAAGTACAGTAATAACATTTATTTAAACTAACGTATTTGTTCTCACATTTTAAAAAATAGATTAACTATCACTCGGTCTCACTAGGATAAGCTTCAATAAGGATCCATCTGTCTCTTCCTTTGTTGAATAGAATAAAGTGACCTTACAAGTATATATTTAAGTTTTGAGCAATTATTTTTGGATATTATGTTAAATGGCCGGCTTAAATAAATGTGTGGCGTCATCTGTTGTGAGATTTTATTAAAACAATTTATATTAAAAGAAAAAAAACTCTTATTTTTATGGGTAAAAGGCAGGTTTCTAAAATAATCTTAAATGCCAATAACGAATAAAATTTTTATTAAGTCTGAACGACNGGCCGGCTTAAATAAATGTGTGGCGTCATCTGTTGTGAGATTTTATTAAAACAATTTATATTAAAAGAAAAAAAACTCTTATTTTTATGGGTAAAAGGCAGGTTTCTAAAATAATCTTAAATGCCAATAACGAATAAAATTTTTATTAAGTCTGAACGACTCTTCTTCTATCTTTGCACCCTGTCGACCTTTAACCACGAAAATTTAACAGCACTAATGTCCCTTATATATGAATAACTCTAAGTTTAACAAAAAGTTAGAGGGAGTGAAATCAAGGAAGAAATGAGATTTTTCCAATGAGTAAACTGTAAATCAGCGCTACGCAAGTTGATATAGGTCTATAAAGGATATTTAAAACGGCAGGCGATAGCCAAGTGGTTACTTCGTGATAAGAATTTTCCCGCAGAGAATTAACTCTACACCGCGACCACTGGCGCCATCCTGCTTTTTTTCACTTCGTGATGTCCGCTGCCCTTCAAATTTTACATTTTATTATTCTTTAAATGTAAATAAAAATATTGCATTGTTGTAGAAAGCTAGAAAACATATTTTTCTCTAGTTTATTCCGTGCCGCCCTCTGGTATCGTAGATACGAAATATTGAGATTTATTTTCGTACAATGTATTTTAATATGTATTTTATGTCTAATTTTTAAAGTTAAATCTTAAAAAAATAAACATTCTAAAAGCTTTATTTTTTTAATCAATGTTCTGTTTGTCGTTAAAGATATGTAAATCNTTTTTCACTTCGTGATGTCCGCTGCCCTTCAAATTTTATATTTTATTATTCTTTAAATGTAAATAAAAATATTGCATTGTTGTAGAAAGCTAGAAAACATATTTTTCTCTAGTTTATTCCGTGCCGCCCTCTGGTATCGTAGATACGAAATATTGAGATTTATTTTCGTACAATGTATTTTAATATGTATTTTATGTCTAATTTTTAAAGTTAAATCTTAAAAAAATAAACATTCTAAAAGCTTTATTTTTTTAATCAATGTTCTGTTTGTCGTTAAAGATATGTAAATCATTGATAAAGATGGGCCTTATTTGTAAGGTTCAGTAACTGCTCACTAATTGTCTAATTCGTGTTGGTAACTATTGTAAACAAAAATGTGTTCTATTTTTACTTTCCTGGATGTTAACACGAGAAAGTTTTGTAATCGCATCAAATTCGACCTTTCTCCACGTGTTGAGACTTTTAAACACAACGTTAAGCAACGAGTTTATCGGCGACAGTTAGTAGCGCCATCTGGTATGATATTTTATTAAAAGTTCTTATATTTTTAACTATTATAAAATGGCAAAAAGCTTAATTTTGAGAGTAGGGATGAGTTTTATAAACAAAATTATAAATGCTAGTATCCAGTAAAATCGTCCAGTACGATCCTACTCGAGATACACACGACCATCTTTATCTCCCCACCCCTCGACCTTTAATCACCAAAATTTAATTACATCAATTCCTCTAATACACAAACCTCCCTGTAAAATTTGACAAATTTTCCATATAAAGTACAGGAGTTATTAAGCTTCAAACAGCATAAACAAAATCGTGTCCGTTCACCTCACACACTAACATCTTTATTTACAGAAAAAATTCAGCAACGAGTTACTTATCATTTTCGGGAAAATGTATAAACTCAAGGTAATAATACCAATATTCTTTATAGAGCCGCCATATTGGTTCCTTAGTTTCCAGGTTACGTATAGATTTCATGATCTGGTTTCATCCAGTAAATTGCACGTTCCTTCGAGTAAAAGTCACGGTATTCCTTTTATAATTTGAAATGAAGTATTTTTTCATTTAGAGGTTACTCTGACGTATAATTATAGGCTAAATAGGTTTCAAAATACTACAAGGATAAATTTATTTAGTTTAGAGAAGAAAGTTGGAGATACTTGTTAAAATAAGAATATACAGTATTTATTTTTTTATATTCACACGCATTTTTGCATTACATAAACCGCAAATGGACGTATCAGAGTAAACAATTTTATAAATTAAAATTACATCAAAATAAAAGAAAGCCTTTCTCTCAAATTTTATATATAAACTAGCCTAAATCTTCAAAAGTGTTTGGAATAAATAATAAGAAAGTTCCTAAATGAGGGAAGTTATGCATTAAAAACTAAATTTAATTATTTTTATAGAGAATTAAATTCTATTTACCTTATGCAGTTTTCATCCCTTCTATCAAATATTTTTTTAATGAAGATTTTGAGCATTATAGTACTGTACATCGCTAGATTTTACTTACAAACTGTGAAGCAAATACATCGTCTGTGTTTTGCTGTTCAGTTTAAGATGAACATTACTGTTTATGGAAAAGTTTTATCCACAAATTTAAGATTTTACCAAATAAAGGGATGACATTTACACAGGTTTTACTGTATATTTCATTTAGCCTAGAAAAAAAGAGTTGTGAAAGGCATGTTGATAGCATTTACCGTTTGTAATGAATGTAGGCTTATACAATAGATATATTTTATGCAATATTAATATTAATATTATCATTTAAACTATGATCCACAACCAAAGCCCATTTATCCTATATTACATGCAGGCTCACAGTGCACACTGCTCATGTCTAACAATTAAATTGAACGATGATTGAAATTACTAAATAATTAATTATACGGATATAAGATTTATGTTATTGTCCTTATTTTCCATTTTAAAGCTTATTAAAGCTCGACCAAAACGAAACTGGTATTTATGAAGTAAGAAAAGACGTTAGAATGAGGCCTGATCACCGCATCATTTACCCTACAGAGCATTTCTGGAATTATCTTTTATTGCTTTTTACTGTTCACTCGTTATATTCTTTCTGTTTTAAGAAATTTATCTTATTAACTCTTAAGATTGACAAATAGTAAGTCTTTACTTAACGCCCTTGATATGTTTTTCGAATTTGGAGATGGATAAAGATGAGTAATGAAGAATAGACAATTGCAAAGTGATGTTTAATTTTAAAGCAATAAAACAGATTGCTTTAGTATCAACGGGGTGTTGTAGCACCGTAAGCACCTCTGGATACACCCGTATTTTTCTATCTCCGTGTTATAACGTGTCATGTGAGAAATAATGTTAGCTAATGTCAAAACCTTATTTAATATCATTACTATATGCTAGATTCTTTCCTTAATTTTTTAACTCTTTCCTCTCTGTGGACAGTAAAAGGGATTTTTATTTCATACCCATCTTTCAGGTTTATTTCATATTCATCAGGATCATCAGCAGGATCTTTTATTTCCTACACATCACATCCATATCGTGGGTCTGACTGAATCCATTCGGAATTCATTCAAGCTCACGATATGGATATGATGGCCCACAATATGGGGGAAGCCGGGTGGTGAGAGACGGAGCCTGACATATCCGGGACTTGATGCCAACCAAAAATTCTTGGAGAGTTGCCCATCTAAAGATTTAAACCTTAATTCTTAAACCTTTTAAAAATTCTTTATTTCTTAAAATATTTTTGTATCAAAATTCGTCTTGGTTGTTAGGCGATTGATTCAACCCCAACGTCCCAAATCTTCTTTTGTTTCATCAGGTGATTCATTAGATGAAATAATTTTTTAATCTTGCTGTTTCTTCCAACTTTCTTGAAAAGGATATCGCAATTTGCAGGCCTGAAACATAATAAAATATTTTTCAGTATCACAGTATTAATATCATTTAAATAATCAAAGTTTTAAAGGGTGTTTAGTTTTAACAGTCATTAAACAAATATAACATATTTTAGTAAAAATTACAGTACTTTATGACAGTGAAACTGGATGAAAGCGAGAAAATTCGAAGAGAAATGGGATTTTAAACAGAAATCTTTGAGCTCAAATATCTTGTAACATAAACCTAACTTGAAAAATAGGAAATGGATAGGTAAGAAAAATATGCTGTTCGTAGAGGCATAACGAAGATTAAATAATATGAGAAACTGCAAAGAATGACATCTTAGAAGGCCTAAATGTGCGTTTAAAAGGGAGAGAATTAAGGGAAGATGAATTGAGAAGAGGAAGAAGAGATTTAGAAATCGAGAGTGTTTAAACAATAAGTGACTTTTAGAAAACAAGACACGAATCTCGAAGGAAGAAAATTTAGATTTAAATAAAATTTTAATAATTTAAACATAAATTTATATAGTTTTGTAATAAATTATTAATTAAAAATTTAAAATATAAAATTTTAAATTACCTTGTTTTCTTTCATTTCTATTTTCGTGGTACAATAC